AATCGCTAAATGCATTAAGATGCAGTGAGGTTCTTTCTTCGCTTCACAATGACCATCGTTACCAGCAACTTCTAATGGAGCGCCCTGAAGTTCACAAAGATGGTGAGTGATTGCACTCCACCGAGTCTGAGAAGTATCTAGCTGTTATACACAGCCGCGATCCATCACGAGCATTCCAAGTGAATGAAGTGTTTACAAAAGTGAGGAGGTTTTCTTTTTACGCTGCTCGTTTGCAATCGTCGCCTGTCCCCCGCTACCTACCACTTCCAGTTATCACCGCCCGTGTCTTACTACATTTGACCTTTTGCTCTCACGTGACACTCCCTGGTATCCTAAGGGAGCATTTCAAAAGCGTAGATAGAGTACTGACAAGTATCTCGATGTAGTGGTATTCTAAAGTCGACTTTGTTGACATTATTGTGTCTAATCATTCCAGTTCATGCAAAAGACTTGTTTCAAGAATACTCGCTGATGCAGGTCACTCATCTTGTGGTGCACTGTCTGACCGTATATCAAATTCCTCAACTAGACAAAAGTACTGTTCCATTTATGCTCGTACAAGGGCTTACCATTCATCCGTAATCCCATATTTGGCGCGCTTTTTGTGCAACCAGACCTCAGTCGTTATGGAGCTTACAAACAAATTCACATTGTAACGATATTGCGGTCTGCGCTGCTTATTCTCTTTTTTGTATATTCTTTTTACAATGCTGTAGGTGTGGGTGTAACAGCTGAATATCCACCCCGGGTGCATAAAGCTCTTTCTTGAACTGAACTGAACTGAACCATGACTAACAACTGCGCAAAAGACGGAGTAGGGCTGTCTAATGCTTGGTGTCCAGTCTTACTCCGGCCAATTTGATAAGAGTCGGCGGATGGATCGGAAGTCAAAATGGACTATCAACGCTACCTCCACCGAACTCCTAAGTATTGAAGACAAGTTCTATAAGTAACCAAGTTCCTTCCAACGAACCAGCTAAGATTACCGACCATGCATGTAACTACCATCGGCTCAGCAATTTTTGTTTATCATTTGACCCTAGCTGAAACAAATCACGGAGTACATAGGAACCTAGTGACCTCTGACTGCTGTAAGCTTTCACGAATGAACTGCAAGTTTATTAATCTCTGTATGTATCTTACCCATGATGGTTAGAAATTGCCACTCAATGTTAAGCTAATGCACTTCGCCTGAAGAAGCTGTTGAGCCAAAAGAGAAACATTGTGCTGTATAACAAAATATATTAACCGGTCGTCTACCAAGACGTCTGAAAGGAAATTTTTCTTCTGGTTATCCCCCACGCCAAACGAAGGACGGGTAGGAGCTCCGGTGAGGTGATGTCCGTACGGAGATTAAGGACGCGGATAGAACTGTTACGTCCTGATCAGAGGCCAACCAAGATAACTCTAAGACCGAGTATGACCGGAGGGCGGACGATCATCAGCTCTGCGAGGACGAATCGGTTTAAGTCAAGCTGCCTAGCGAGACGACGTAGCAGTCTGGAGAGACGCGTGCAGCTGCGGGGCAAATTACGGAAGTAACTGGCTTTATAAGGCGGCGGGTATTGGCAGTACACTGGCGCGTCGTACCGACGCTTCGTTGCCACTCAACCACTATCGGTCGTGCGTGGGCTAAAGTTACTGCGAGGGTCGCCCGGTCCCCTGCGCAGGCTCGAACTGGTGACCTCCAGAGTACAAGGCAGGCGTGTGAGTCTTTCAACCACCGGCTGGCAAAGTAGACATTCGGCACAGAGACCATGTCCGTCACCGCTCAGTTTCGGTTCCGCCAGACAACTCCTCGACAAGCTCGCTTATTAAGTTGAGAGAAACACGGAGTAGCCAGTCAGCCGGAGGCTCCGCAATCTCGTCGCTCAGGCCGAGTACGCCGATTAATCAATCGATGTCAGGCTAGATCGGGTAGTTTCAACTAGAGGAAGGAATAATTTGGCATACGCGTGAACCAAGTTTAACTACTTTGAATTCTCTGGCCTGACAGTGCGTGTAGGTGTAATGCCAAGCTAATCAGTGATTGAACTGTTTTAAATTGTGCGACGTGTTGTACTTGATGCTAGCCAGAATACACTTTGTGTACGGCCGAAACTGGTGTGTTCTGCTGTCTTGTGCCACGAGCCGAATACTGCGTTATATTGTGGTGTAATTCCGCAAGAGCCATACTGTAACAGTGAGCAAGCCTCAGTGCCGCCAAAATATTGCGACAATACTGCTCGTTTACGGCTTTTAAGCATAATTCATAATCGCAAACCAAGTCAGGGAGCATGAGCTCATTAAAGTGACCAGCTGATCATTTCTTACGCAGTAAACCACAAATATCGATTAGTTATTATTCGCCAGGCAGTGAAACGTGCTAGTAGTGAATGCATCACTGACCAAGAGCCTTGCTCGAATATGGTAGACTCATCCGTTCGAAGTAGGGTGCAAAACTGCGTGAACGGAATGACGAACCTAGGCAATTTCTCTAAGTGCCGAGCATTGGGGAACCTATATAACTGAAATATGACGCCACAAAGGTCAGCGAAGGTGAAGTAAGACATCACCAGGGCCTAGCAATGCAAATGTGTTCAAAAGCAATACTGCTTTACAGGCATTTCAACGAACTCCATTAGGTGCAGTGCAGGCGTTTTGATCTACAAACAACATGGGACCTGCGAAACTGGAATTCTTTTTATGAAGCAAAGCCTCATAAAAGAGACGTTTTTACCGTCCACGGCACCCAGCATCATGTTTATTGTTCACGAAGATCACACCACACTCAGGATATTGTCTTCATAACCCGGACAGTACTGAAAGACTGATGTTCTTGCTAGAGAAGAGCTGCTTGGGTGCAGGTAACATTAACCTTGAGGCGCTGCACGCGGTTGCATGGTTGTCCTAGTTAGCTCAACGAGGACTTGATGAGATACGGCTCCCTACAGTGAGAATGTTGACAATTATGGCTGCAGTCTCACTTCACGTAGATTTGCGCTATTGAATGTTCTTCCAGAAACAGTAGTTACTGCCTCTACATTGAAAATGATATGGCGCAACAGCAACAGATGTGCACATTTCATCACGAGGTATTCCATCGCTAGTGACATTTCTCTGCTTGGCCGCCACTGGCCGTAGCCAGACACATATACATAGAGTTTATCGTCATTAAAAATGCTCTAAAACACATTAATTGCCAGACGACCAATCTGTAACAGTAAGCATCTTATAGCGTAGGAAAGGGGCTTTAGTGTTTAAAGGACGCTCGTTGCAGCCACACTCAGCTGCGCTACAGGGCAACTTCTAATCAGTCATGGTGCTCCGCCGCCGTTATCACGGGCTCGTTGGCTTAAGGTGGTTCATAATTGGGAAGTCATGAGTTCGGATCCGGCAGGATCCCGTGAACGCGCCCTAGCGATGCCTTTGAACAGGACGAAACGACCGTATAGAGATTCCCAGGATGTGGGCGACTGCCTGATCGAGTCTGGATGCGAAGATCATTCGCAAAACGCAAGCACCGTGATTTGGCAAATAGCCAGAGGAAATCGTGCGTTGTACAAACCGATCGCTTCTTTGCGTAGATAGAGGCAAAAAGAAGTGATCAAACTCTGCAACAAAACCCCTATTCAAGAAAGTTATGAGTTCGTTACTTTATGGTTTTTGAAGCTGCCTGGGTCTAAAAATGCAGCAACATAAGTCACGTGACTCGGTTGGTTTCCTCACTCACTCGACTGAGTTAGCCTATTATGCACAAAAAGTTTATAGTACGGCAAATGACCGAGTGAAATAGAATAGTAGAAGCCAAAGTATCAAGTTCGACTGCTCATCTATTAGACCAAAGCGAACGGTTTTGGTGCTAGCAACCGCCGCCAAGTGAAGGTTCGCTGTAGAAAGTCTTCGACTTTCAGAATCAAGCTGACTAAAGGACTGTTAATGCTTGTAGTTCTGTTAGCATCCCATAATCCCATTGAGGGTTCTTTCTACTGCATACCAAATAGTTTCGTCTTCGTTTGTGCTTAACCCTCAGTTGTAAATGTAGGAACGTAACAGCATTGAAGTGTAGTGATGCATGAGTAAATAGACGAGGAACGACTTCCTTAGGACAGCAATAGAAATTGTACTATGACTCAAACAGAATACTAAGGGTAAATTGATTATTCCGTAGTGTACCGGAAAGCACACGGTTTCAGTATTTTGCAACACTGGATTTTACCATTGTTTTGACCTTCAAAGCGTTCACTTATTTTAGCGACGGCACTTCCGTTGACACAAATTGTTTTGGTGAGCATCTTGCTGCACCGTTTCTCGCTCTAACTGATTCGTTTCCTATTTTTGTAGCCTGCATAATACACGTTGGGTTCAGTCGCCTTCAATTTCTATACTGTCCCGTATTTGACACGGCTCTTACGTGTCACTGATTACCGACTAGTATCCCATGCACCAGCCAACAGATGCAGCATGGTACCGACAAATCGGTACTAGATTCCAGAAACACGTAAAATTCCCGGGTCATTTCAAAAATCTAAGTCGGAAGTACAATACGGTGCTATTTTTACAAACGATTATGGCAGCAAATTTAGGCTGACCTCGATGATATATACCACAAAGTGTACAATGCTGTTTTTAAAATACAAATAGCCGTCAAACGAAACAAAAAGGAAGCTCCAGACAACTGATTTTCAATCAGTCACACAGCTGAGTAAGCAATCCAATCAGACATGATTTAAAGTAAGATGATCGAGAATCCAATCAATCAATTTGCCGTCCACATGGGTGAGCCAATAAAGGGAGATTCAGACTCGAGCATACATGAAGGCGTGAGTGTTCATCAACGCGCTACTTTAAGATGTGCGAATGTCAGCAAATGAAGAGTGACGGTTAGAACTGATCAAAAAGAGGTTTGCGTGCGCAGAGTAGTTTTTCAACTAAAACATTGGGTCAGGAAGTCAGAACAAAGTAGGAAACAGAAAGGGAACAGATCTGAATCATCAAAACGACGGTAAAATGGTACTTACTGTGAATCACGGAGATCATCTTTCCAACCAATACGACATGGGTCACTAGTCCTGAACACGGTGCTTTGCGTTTGATCACGAATGTGCGTTGTCTTTTGATCACCGTCCTGTCTATCGGACACTCGATGGCTACCCAGTCGTCTCTTCAGCCGTTGCGCAAGCTTGTCACATTGTGTTTGGCTTTGAACAAGTCTGAAAGCGTCAGAGGCAAACACGCTGTCACCGAAATAACCACATTGAACGATTCACTGTATTTCATTAAAAACGCCAACACTGAACATAAAAATGATGGAATAACAACAGACACTAATCTAATAAATTCCGGCCACATATTCATTCGTCAAATCGCACTTTGCCAGGGATATTCAGAAAGATCCTTGCTGATGGACTGAAGGTTTTGGAGGCAAGCTATATAGGGCTGGAAATAGGCAGAAAAACATGCTTTAGACCTACATATTCTGATAAGTTGCCACCCTTAACTTCCAAGCAGCGGTGTTACAAAATCGTTCGTCGGAGAAACTTAGAATGTGAAGTGCCTCTGAGGCGGGTGCGAAACGAGGCTTGTGAATAATTTCGGCGTGGTAACTTGCGCGATACGCAGTGGCGCAAGAAAAAATGAGTAGTGTGCTGCCACAAGGCTGCAAAACTTGTGTCTGAAAATGCTTTATACAAGATCACAACTTAACTTTCCAGAATCTCATCCGTTGAACTATCATGACTTTGTACGTAGGCTGAGAGCTTTGAACAAATTCGATGCTGTTGACTGATATCCGCTCGAGAACCTCCATCAGCAGGTACTCGAGATTGCGTTACTGAGCGTTGTGGTGATTCGCTAGCTGTTTTACGTCTCGTGCTTGGACGTCCACGAATCGCTGATTCCGATTTTGAGTTGTCTGATAACTGTTGTCGTTGGATGTTCATCCCCCCTGTCAGTACATGAAATATGAGGAAGGTAGCAAGACAATGACTCGTGACATTTATCCCGGCATGAGGTGGATGAATATGTGGAATGTTTTGCATAGAATTCCGTTATCGAAAGTAGTAAATTAGAAATGCTCTAGATTCTGCTCAGAAGAGTACGCATATAACTAAGAACGAGGGATGTTCTTCGTTCCGTAGTTCACCGTAGTTGTACGACAGCTAAGCATCAATTCAAGTGGTTGATGTACTACTGTTGATGATGATGATCATCATCATCAATATACATTAGCTGAAGATGAATAATACGCCTCAACTAAGATGCCGCAATAGAAAAATGATAAGATACTAAAAATTACACTACAAGAAAGCAAAAGCAAGTAACATAATGTTGAATCTCATATTATTAATTTGCTATGAGATACTGATTGGAGGGGAATCCAAAGGTGAGGGGGATGGAAAAAGAAACTCACAACACAAACGCCATCGGCGATGGCCCTTCGCCATATCACCAAGCGTGTCCAACCAAATGTGTTCATCGTCATTCGGACCCAAGCCAGGCAGTCGGGATGCACCAACGGACGCCAACTTCGAAGTGATGGTTTTCATTTCTCTTGACCAAGTTATTGCTCGGCCTCCCCTTCTCCACTTCGAAGCACACCCTCGGCATGCAAACAATGCACGTCGCGGGAGTCGGTGGGCTGGCATGCGCAGCACGTGCCCAAGCCATCGGAGTCTGATGCGTGATATAATGGTGCTGAGCGGTTCATTCGTTCTTCCTGCGCCAAATACACGACGTCAAACACATTCATTGCTCACGCGGTGCTCCCATCAGACATGAGCTAAGCTGCGTAGGCAGCGATGATCGCCATTAGTTATCACTGGCGGGGTAGCATACAGGATTCCAAATCAAACTGGAGTACCTATATCTCACTTCGGATCACGCGCTGGTGTGTGTCACGGTCGCGCTACGTGTTGGTCGCTTTCAGCAGCGTCGCAAAAAATGGCTTGACGTAGCTAAGCTTGACGTAGATTTCTGCCCCAAAGATTCTCCGCGCATTTCGGGATGCCTTGATCTCACGTCTGAAGACTGCCACATGCATAGACATTGAAACACACTGGACACATTCGCGGCGCCATGTACAACTCTGCAACCCTGGTGTGTGGCTTCACCAGTAGTTCTGTCAACCACTGGATCTCTGCACGATGCCTCCAATTTCTCGAAGCCCGTCGAGCAATTTCTGCTATCGTTAAATACCATTCACTACGCAAGACTACTAACGCTGAGCTCAAACAGCTTCTCCGGGAAAATCGCGAGGCCTGATGGACACACCGGATCATTGAGATGGAGCAAGCGGCCACCTCGGGGAATTTCCGTAAGCTTTTCGTCCTGCTACGATCTACTGGCGGCAGAAGGCCGACTGTAAGCGAAGTTTGATGCGAAACTAATGGCGAGCCAATCCACTGTCAAAAACGCTGACTCGATCGTTGGGCCGAGCATTTTGAGCAGCAGTTTAGTTGGTTAGTAGCACCAATGAGTTCTCATTCTGGAGTCCAGAGCGCTCCCTGGTGTGTAGACGCTTCACCACCACCCGAGGCTGAAGTTGTCCACGAGCTTCGCCACTTAAAGCGCTACAAAGCCCCTGGCCCAGATGAACTCCCTCCGGCACTTTCAAAGATGGCGGCCCCTCACTTGTTTAGTTAACTTCTCTCCTCCAAGAGATCTGGGACACTGAAGTTATCCCATCCGATTGGATCCTAGCGGATATCGTGCCCGTCTTCAAAAAGCGTGCCCGAAGTGACTGCACTAACCACAGAAGGATTACTCGCATCTGTGTTACTTCAAGAGTGGTCGCAGCTTTGCTTCTAAGGAGGCTCAGCCTGTTACGCGAACAGAGCATAAGTGAAGAGCAAGTTGGGTTCCGCCCAGGTCGGAGGTGTATCTATCACATCTTTACACTCCGTCAAATACTCGAACGTCGTCAAACATTAGGCCAGCCAACGATCGTTGTCTTCTTAGACATACGAGCCGCGTATGACTCAGTCGACAGAGCTGCTCTCTGGAGTTGTCTACTAAAAGGGGGAATGCCCGAGAAGTATGCCACCTTACTTCAAGCCATCTACTCTCAAACTTCGTCCGAGTGCGGGTGTACGGCGGACTTTCACCCCCTTTGGTATCACCAGTGGCATGGGACAGAGTTGCCAAGCATCCCCTTCTAGTACAATTACGCTATAGACGAAATCTTGGAGTGCTCTGGAGAACTGCGAACCCAGCGGCGTTGAGCGGCTTCCGAGGTACCGACTTCGGGGTTTGGAGTATGCAGATGACATCGCCGCAATCTGCGCTTCCTCACAGGACGCTCAAAATGTCCGTTGCCCAGTGTGGAATGACCTTCGCACCACCAAAGTGCAAGGTTTTCCTGCATGACTAGCTAGGTGCTGCTCCTGACTTTATCATTCCAGGTCATTCATTGGAAGTGGTGAACAAGTTCGTTTTCTCAAAAGCTGCCTCAGTGTTAATGGTTTAAAGGATGAGGTTTTTCTGTGAGTCTCCAAAACTCGGTTTGCTTTTACCAATCTCTGCCATCTCTGGCGTCCATGTGGTCTGAATCCATTTCTGGAAGGCCGAACTTGCAATGACATAGTGAGAGCGGTTCTGCTCTATGGCTGCAAGACTTGACCTGTTTGCGCAAAGGATGTTGAGAGGCTGCCTGTTTTTGACCACCGCTGCCTTCAAAGCATCGCTGGTGTAAGATGGCAACATCACACTAGGATTGAAGATATCCGACGAAGGATTTTTAGATCAGACAGACTTTACCGGCCACTGAGCAGTATAATGTTTCTGCGCAGACTTCAGTGGTTTGGGCATGATTTTTGCATGCGTAATCATCGATTACCTCGCCGTGCCCACTTCGCGCACGCGGACGTCGGCTGGAATTGAAAGCAAGGTGGCCAAAGTATGACTTGGGCCAGGAGCATCAAGCAGCTAACAACAAAGTTAGCAGTGGTCGGGCGCCCTCGACTCCCAGGCTGGAGTGTAAAGGATCCGGAACATACAGCCAAAAACACTCCCGAATATGGCAAGAAAACGTGCACAATGGCGGATGTGCTGTGACTCATTATTCGCACTAACACCGTTTTCCACTCTACCTTGGTGTGTATATCGTTGTATCCGCACGTTTTGGTACCATGCCAGCAGTACTACCAGCCAAATGAATATATATATATATATATATATATATATATATATATATATATATGGTTGGCGCCATTCGGTTTCGGATTTGCTTGTCACTGTGGCCAGTCACAGGACGCCTGCGCCTACGGAGATTCCATGAGTGGCTGGTGCTGCACCACCCACAGCTCCAACTACACACCCCATATCCAGTGTAAACCCGAAGGAATAAGACCGGGAGGCATGCGCATAGGAGCCACGTTTCATCAACGGAGCCGGCCCACACTCCTTCACAAGCAAACACAAACACGCTGTATTTGGGAATCAATCGCACACAAGGCGGTGGCTGGACCGTAGCCCGCTCCACACTAAGTGCATGGAACTGCTCTTCGAGCCTAGCACGGCCACAAGGACTGTGCACCCCGTCCCCTCCAGCAACAACCAACTGTTTCCTGGAGCCAGTATGGACGAGGTAGTTGGCAATGAACATGTAGCCATCCTGTCAACATGCACATCAAGCGCAGACACTTCGGGGATATCAAGCAACAGCCGATCACTTGAAATGACAATATGAAATAAAATAAATCGGATAATGCACACAAATACGGAGACAAACCGCTTCACGAAATGATTGTATAAAAAAAATTACGAACGAATCCACAACAAGTTCAAGAGGTCAGAAAACAAATTTTAAGAAAACGCCACAAACACGAGAACGTTACCGATGTTCGCTATAATTCGCTTCAGCAAGGTGTGCAAGTTTATAAAAGATGGTGCAGGTAGATATAAATAAAGAAACCCATTACGACAAAATTGAAAACACACCACCTAAAATAAATAGACTTAGCATGCAAGCACGCGGATAGTAATTCGAACGCAGCGTACCTACAAACGCTGCAACAGTTCCGCCTACGTTCGCTCCAGGACCCGTCGTCGCTTCAGTGGTGGCCCCGAGTGGCCTAGCTCATGACTCACTAGGCCTGCCTGAATCAGGCACTCGCGACCACATGTGCTACAACACCATGCGCTTGACGTCCATAGAGTACATCCCATCGGCGCTTAACGCTTCTTCTCTGCATGCACGAGGTCTTTCTCCCGCATTCCAGCAACTGCCTATGTGATCAGATCGCGCCATGCACGCCGATCAATCGCTTTTGATTCCCATGACCTGCAATCAAGATTAGAACGTAAGAAGCTCACTTTAATCATGTCCTGGTAACGCAACTTCGGTTTCCCCACATGCTACTTCCCAATAATAAGCTGATCGAAAAAGAGTTGTTTCGTTACCGCGTAAACTCATACGGCTCACATGACCGAGCCACTTTAGGTATCCCAACAAAAGTATGCAGTCCACTGCATACATTCCACTTTGTTGCAACATTTCCGTGTCCGCAACTCTGTCGCCCCATCCGATGCGCATAATCTGCCACAAACACTCTGGATGGAACCGCTAGAGATATCATACATCCCGCCGGTACAAAGTCCACGTTTCACAGCCGTATAGAAGAACGGACAACACCATGGATTTGTACATCATCAGTTACGTGCCAATGGTAAACTGATGGTTATTCCACACTCGGTACTCTAGCTTCCCGAATGCCGCCGCTGCCTTCCAGACGCGGATACGCAGCTCTTTATGTATCTGCTGATCAGTCGACATCTCACTCCCAAGGTAACAGAAGCGGGAGGTGGTTGTCAATACTATAACACTCGCACTGATTCGAGGCAATATTGAAGATTGCACCTCCGGTGAAGGCTGAAAGAGACAGACAGTTTTGTTTCTCTTGTTGGTAAGCCCGAATGTGGCCGACGTCGAAGCCAGAACATTAGCCT